GCCATGCAGCTGTCATACTGCTCAGTCAACAGGTGTTCACCATCATTAGTACATTCTAAAAGATGAAGACTCTTCAGTTTCTACCATTCCTTTGCTTTGCTGTCATTCTCTTGGTCAGCCCATTTGAATGTGCATCTACGAACCAGAATGACTCGGAGTATTGGAACCAGTTGTCGAGTGAGGCACTGCACGCCTCACTGCTGAACAAATACAACCAGGCAGCAAAGAATGTCATCCTCTTCCTGGGCGACGGAATGGGCATCAGGTAAGAAGATGGGGGTGAATTTGTTTACCAATAATTCTTAAATCACTGTCATTAACTGCAGTACCGTCACCGCGGCACGCACGCTGAAAAGGCAAAACGAACAACTCGACGAGCTGGGCTTTGAGAAGTTCCCCAATGTGGCCATGGTCAAGACGTACAATGTCGACTACACAGTGGCCGACTCAGCGGGGACAGCCACAGCCTACCTGTCGGGCGTCAAAACAAACAAGGGCGTCATCGGGGTGAATGGAAACATCAAGCGAAAGGACCAGGACTGTGAGAACATTCTTCGCAACCGAGTCAACTCGGTGTTCACGCATGCAATCGCAAGTGGTAAGCACTTAACAAAAGTTTTTTCTACTATTTTGAGCACTAAACTCTAGACAAATATTCTTGCAGGCAAAAGCACCGGAATCGTCACCACAACTCGACTGACTGATGCTACTCCGTCAGGAGCGTATGCTCACGTGTCTGACCGAGATTACGAAGGCTCATCGCCGATCACAGACCCCCGATGCAAAGACATCGCCAGACAGCTGATTGAAGACTCGCCTGGTTCAGAGTTTAATGTCATCCTCGGAGGTACTCTCACTCTTCTTTAGTGATTCGATAGCTTTCCTGTTAAACCGAACCGTCTTTGCTAGGTGGTACGAGATACTTTCAGTCGCCGCCCTTGGGTGAGCGGAAGGATGGCCGAAATCTGTTTGACCAGTGGAGAGAGAGCAAGAGAAGCCGAAACCTGACCGACACTCAGTTCAGACTGGTGCAGACCAGACAGGAGTTGGCACAGGTAAACAAGAACACGGTCAAGTACCTGTTTGGCAGTTTCAGTCAAAGCCATTTGCTGTACGACCAGCAACGCCTTCAGAGCAACACCACCACAGAACCGTCCATTGTGGAGATGACCGAGGCGGCCATCAATGTACTGCAGAACAATGATAAAGGCTTCTTCTTGCTGGTTGAAGGTATTTGGTGATGTGATCAGTAGTGTCTGCAATCACCACAATATTTGACAACGTTTTCAGGAGGAAAAATCGATAAGGCCCACCACGAAAATCAGGCATTTCTAGCTTTGTACGACACACTAGCATTTGATCGAGCCATCAACCGAGCGCTGAACATGATCAATCTAATGGAAACACTGGTCATCGTCACTGCTGATCACTCGCATGGATTCACACTGAACGGCTATGCAAAGAGGGATTCAAACATTTTCGGATTTGCAGAGAAGAAGAGTAATGGAACTGCCTACACTTCGTTGATGTACGCAACTGGACCGGGAAATAGGGCGAAAGCTAATGAAACGATTCAGGAAACAGGTTAGAAAGTAACAAACCTAATACTTGTATCAAATTCTAATTACGACTGATTTGGGTCTAGCTGACATGAACTACCGACAAATGTCAACAGTTTGGCTGGACAGTGCGTCTCACGGTGGTGAAGATGTCGGTAGGTTAACCGTTAGTAAAGTAGCAACACTTTCTAATTTGGGTTCTTTCTCCTATAGCTGCTTACGCAATTGGAGCCATGTCACACTTGATGAGATCCACTCAAGAGCAAACCTATGTTGCCCATCTGATGACATTCGCCGCCTGTATTGGACCGTACCAGCAAGAGACACACTGTAAAAGTAGTGCACTGGGAATGCTCATCGGAGAAAACACTAAAAATCTCATTGTCGTCTGTGGCCTTGTGCTAGCTCTGTTGAACCACTGGAACAGATGAGAGTACACACGCAGATTGCTCGTATCATATGAAATAAATTCATTTACTCCTTCGTTGTACACTTTGTAAGCTCACTGATATACCACTCGGGTAAAATCTGAAAGTGACTTCGGTTGAGTAGTTTTCTGGTGGAGATCATATTTGGAACTTCATTTGAGAAGAGGTAGACTCGATAAGGGTCGTCGTCGGTGACGATATGCTGTACGAAGGAGAGGAATTGCTGCAGAAAATTCATACACTGACGTCTGGACCAGAATTCACTGCATTGACTGGGAATCCGGTGAACGTTCATCTCTTCGATACTGTCGACAATGTGGCGGTCGTTTTTGTAGCCACAAATTATCTTTGGAACGCCAACTAAATACGACTGAGCCCACCACTTTATGAGCTTGAACTTGCAAAAGTTTCTGTACTGGTTCTCGTGATGCATCCTCCGGGTGGTCTTGATCTCCACAAAGTTCTCCATGTCAGCGGCATCCCGTTGCGTTTTTCCAGTGTCCAGACAGTCAATTTCGGCGGCGTACAACAGCGAAATCTTTCCACTTGAAGACTGAACTTTTGATTTGACAACAACGGAATACCCTTCCTTTGTGGCCGCATCAAAATGATCACACTGCACCTTCTTGGGCTCCGTGCGAGTGATGTAATTTTCGAATCTGTGTCCACCATAGCTAAACAAGTTGCCGTAATCGTTGACGCTCTCCTCGGTGTCGTAATATGGACACAGGTAGATGGTGCCTTTGAACATGGTGGCCCCAACCAGCCACTTGTCCTTCACAAAGGAAGACACCATTAATTTGGTCAAAACACCTCGCCATGTGACGAAATCAGTGCCTAGTGGTTTTTCCGCTGGATTACTGCTCTGCGGCAGTTTGTGTCGGTTCCGAAGGATCCACTGGAGGAACTCGTCCAGTTTGACGTTGGCCGCAGAAGACCAGTTGATGTTTTTATTGTAGCCAGCGCTAAGATCGTATGCGACGTGTTCAAGTTTTGATGGCAAGTGCAGATAGGAGTACTTCAGCTTGGACTCGGCAAAGATTGGCTCCCTGCGGCCGCTTGCCTTATCTTGGAACAGCATGTACTGCCCAATCAGCTGAGGCTTCTCCAAGGAGGCATTGCTTTCCGCAATGGAACCAATAGCCGTCGACAGTACGCGCTCCTCTTCGTAAACGCATGACTCTAAATCTGTAATAAAAACAAAAGTCAACCGGTTAACTCTAGGATGACACTTTCAGAGAACAATGACAGATATTACCTCGTAGGGTATAGCTAACTGACATGGCGACTCTAGCTGTAATTACTCATCGATTCAGGTCAGTTCAAGAGCGGCCAAGAAGAAATAAACAACACGAGGAGCAAATGAGGCGAGTAAACAAACAGCGCTGGTGCACTGAGATGAAGTCGCCCTTAAGGGTGAGTCAACTTTCACTGAAATTCTAACATTTGACTCTGTACACTCTATACAATTCCACCGTACATTTCTGGCGGTTCTGTTTACGGTCCACGTGCTACTGCAATCCCAGTGCATTGGCGCATGTCTCGCTCTCCAGTTCTGAACTGCATCACATGTGCTCAGGATGACCGAGCTTTCACTGGGTGAAAAAGGCAGTAGCTTTGCTGCAGCAGTAGCAGCGTAATGCGGCGAAAAATTTCCCCAGGAAGCTGAAAGTGATACGTAGCTGAGAGTTTAGCATGCTAAAAAGTTAGTTAGTCAGACAGCCACACACTGATCGAACGATCGCTGCCAAAAGTGAGAGAGAAAGAGAGAGAAAGAGGACGACAAAGGAGCACTTGGGACCGTCCATGGCTGCCAAATGCAGTGTCCTGCTCATCCTCGGCGGCCATCACGTCACCTGCGTCACCGTCGCTTCAAAGCTGATCAGCCAATGTGATTGGTGCAGCAGCCAAAACAGCAGCAGCAGCAGGCGAAGGCGAAGGCCCAAGAAGCGGTGGTGGTGGTGGTGAGAAGTCGGTGGCGCGCTCCTTTCGTAAGCACACGTTCTCGCCCTCCTTGCTCTCTGCCTTTCCCTCTACGCCTCTGATGCTGTTCAGAAAGAGTGATGGTGGTGGTGAGAGTCAGAGTGAAG